CCTCATCTTTGTAAAAGTCGTATATCAAATACTAGAGACTTGTGCTTCGGCATACGCATACATTTATACATTATGATTACGATCGTACGTCTAGATATTAAATTATTCAACAAATAAGTTGCCAACACTGCAGCGAAGTCCAAGCGCAATCGTCTGTATATGTGAGTGTGTGTGTGAAATATCAGTTCTGGAGGAGGGTTCAGGGGATCTCGTAGTCGAGCAGTCTCGACTAGAGCTTTCTTACTTGTTAAGTTAATGTTTTTATTAATAATAATAAAACAACGCATAAGAATACAGAATGAGTATACGAATTATACATATATAAATTTTGAGATAAGATATTCGAATTTAGCACTGGATTTTCTTTTATTAACCAATTAATTTCATAAGGCGACAGTAAAAATGAAACTCATTTGAAGATTTTCAACCGTCTGAATGTGAATTTTAAGGTCGACGACTTGGTCTTTCATTACTCATGAGTCAATTTCTTCTGCTGTTTGCTTAACAGGATTCTTTACTTCCCGATACAACAGAGTTTCTCTGGTTTCTGATGCCGATTCAATAAGTAAATTTGCTATATTCGCTTGCTACTAGATTAAATCCTTTTTTCTCTAGAATGTTTTCGGTTGATTTCAAATTAAATTTTACACTAATTAACCAACGATTACTTAACATTTAAACATATTATAATGACACTCTGGAGACCTTTAGCTGAAGTTTGCCCGAGAGTTAAATGTCTTGGCTGTCACATAATGTAGTGGCATTAGAGAGTTGTTAATTAGATTAAGTTAAGTGTCAAATTTAGTGCATTTTCACTTTGTCCGCCCCGTGGGGTGTGCTTAACCTGTGCCCGAGTGCACTTCACTAGCTGCGACAGCAGCAGCAGCAGCAGCAGCAGCAGCAGCAGCAGCAGCAGCAATGAGAGCGACAGCAACACAAGCAACAGCAGCAACAACTATTACAATACAACATTTGTTTTCAATTGCAGGCGACAGACGGCTAGGCGGGGCAGGGCGTGACGCTGGCAAAGCTGGGGTAATAAACTGGGACAACAACTTTAAAAGTACAAACCAAGTGCACGGATTGAAGAGCACAGACCGGGAACAATGCAAAATGCGATGTCAGCAACAGAAGCAACTGCTGCAACAACAACAACGAAAACAACAACGAGAACTACAACGAGAACAACAGCAAGAACAACAACTGGAAACAAGTCAACAGCAGCTTAAAACATAATACGCTAACGGCTGCCAGCAAAGGGGGCGAAAAGCGAAAAGCGAAAGAGACTTGGAGGAAAAACAAAGGAATGATGAGAAAACGTTGTTGTAATTAGTAAACGGATGGCTGACAAGCAGCAGCACAGCATGAATCATAAGTTGAGGCGGAAACGGAAGTGCACGCCCAATAAAACTGACAGCCAACAGCAGGAACAACAACAACAGCAACAACAAGGAGCAGGCGTCAACTAAATGTTGCAACAAGAATTGCAAATGCCAAACAAATTGCGATCATGTGTGACGTTGAGCAGGCGTTTAAGAGCAATCAAAGCGACGACAATGAGGACGAGCAACAGGAACTGGAACAGGAGCAGCAGGAGCTGGACGAGCCGCAGCTCAGTCAGGAGGCTGTCGGCGTGAAGTCCAGTGTTCTAGTCAAACGCCACGCTTCCGAACGTTGCTTGGGTCAGCTGCTGAAGCTGCTGCTCTCCGCGCCCGGCCTCGTTCTACTGGTTACAGGGTATTCGGTGCTGGGTGCACTCATATTCCCACTGCTGGAGGCACCGCAGGACCTGAGCAAGTCGGCGGCCATTGCCAAGAGCCGGGAGGATTGTCTGCGCGAATTGTGGATCATAACGGGTGAGCGGGCCAGCAAAATTTGTTAAACTGTTTATTTGCCGCATACGCATAAATCAAGCGTGAATTATTTGCCGCATTGCCCATAAATATGAATCGAACATTGTTTTGGGTTGTATTTAACGCTTGATTTGTTTGGAATATACAAATATAGATATCTATAAATGCATTTAGAGTGGCTTTAAGGTCTATCTGCTAATGGCAATTAATGCTAAACAAATATCAATATTTTAATTGGAATTAACTTTCAGTTAGCCTCGGAATGTAATTTGCGCCAAATTGAATAATAACAAAATATTTGCAAAGCCAAATATTTGGCCACATTGAGAAAACAAATTTCACAAATTTTACGCAAAGCTTGCAATTTATTTAGAGGGCATGGGATGTAGATGTGTGTGAGTGTGTGTGTGTGGGAGTTAAAAGTACTACTGTGACTAGTTTACATGATTTATTGGCAATTAATTACTTTGTTTCCTCGATTGCGATTGCCTTTCGTACTCAATTTGCGCGAAAATCTCCACTAAGGGGCAAAGGTATTTAACTTTTAATTGCAGTATTTTCCTTAACCGAACCATTGCGTTGTTACAGTGGGCCAAATTGGTAGCTTAAACGGCGTTAATAATGGAAAAAACTATATTAATATGTAAGATGCAATATAAAATTATGTTATTAAGTGAGGTTCACTTCATGATATCTTTTTGGAAGTGCTTAGATTTGACTGATCTCCTTTAATGTTCTGTTAGACATCACGATAATTGTCATATTGAGATCAAATAGGTTATTGGAGTTATTAGAGCAGTCGCTAGCAAATACATTGGAAAATGTCGTATGGAATTGTAAATTTAGCTCTTTTCTTCTCATTTAAAAATGTTAAATATATTAACCAAATAATGTCTAATGTACAAACACGCAGATTGAAGCTATAATCTCTAGACAAATATGAAAAGCCTGTAAATATTTGAAATTCTCATAAAATGATCCAAGGATTTTAACATAAGAAAACCTTTGAAATATTTGACAACTAATTAGGAGCTAAGATATTTCTGCTGATTTTACATTTCAATATTTTATAGCTAAACATTTTTTCTAACGAAAACCAAAAAAAAAAAAAAAAAAACCTGAAATAATTCTATGTGCAAAAAAGAATATTATTTGCATACCGTACTCTATCTCGGTGGCAGACTGTCCCTCTCCCTCTACTCTCTTTCCCTCCCTCTCTGTTTTGTTTTTGTCTGTCTCGCTGGCACGCGCATTGGCGTGTGCTTATGTTGATTTAATGAAAATTTCACATCATAAATAAACTAATTAATTTACGCGCATTTTGCTTTCTGGAGTGGCGCACCTGGCGTATGATTAATATACAAGACTATGCATTTAATGATGCCGAGCTTGAATCAAATTTTGCATTTCCCTCAACGCAGTTCCTTGACAAATCCCGGAATTTCGGGGTAGGCAGACTTTAAACACTTAGGGGCATATTTAATTAATAATTCTAATGATGAGATTAATTCAACTGTCTAGAGAGGTGTTATAGCAGATAGTCGTTATTTGATAGTCTAGCTCTATAAGTAAACATTTCAGTGAGGGCCGCGTGAAGCGCTTTTAATAGAAAATTAAATGGAATTTCATGCTTGGAAACATTGGCTTGGATTGCTTTCGAGATTAGATTAGTTTCGCATCTCAAGGTGCTCAAATTTTATACAAATTTAGTGTCCGTAAAATGGTGTTCTTTCTTTTTAGATCAAATTTAATTCAAATTTAAAACATGAAACAAATATACAAGTTTAACGAAAATTCATTGTAGTGAGAATAGCTCAACATTCTAGACTTGAACTGTTAGATAGAAATCAGGACTTTATTCCTTTACGGCATTCAGCGTTCATTCAAATAAATCTATCTGCAACTTATTTGAAGTGCTTCAATTAGCTATCGACGTATTTGGCTCACATTAAATAAAGCTGAAGGCCAACCGACTCCTGCGGATTCCACTTGGCAGCGCAAAAGCAGCAATGCAACAACTTATATTACACAAATAGTCACGTAAAGTGCTTCCAGACTTCTTTCAGTATGAAACCAAAGGCTGAGAGCACTTGCGAATTCATTTGCTATTAAAATGAGTATGTACTCACACATACACACATATACATGTGTATATGTATATCTATGTCTGTTTGTGGAGGAACTCGACTTGAACACGAAGCACATTTGCTGTGGTATTTACATCTGGCAAGGATCTCTAGCTGCCAATACAAGGACCCAGAGTATTGAGTGTTTCATTTCTGGCTGAAATGGATGCAGTCGCTCGTGGGTCTGAATGACGCCTCCGGGGTGGCTGTGGAGGCATGGCCAAGGCCAAATGGCGTCAAGAGGGCGTCGTTAACGATTGTTGTTGTTAACAAGTTGCGGCAGCCACCAACCTCTACAATTTGCTGTGAAGGCAAAACCAAAATCAAAATCAAATGCGAATATCGCCCCCAAGACAAGCCAAGCAATGTCGAAAGCAGGAGGCGTGGCTAGCGTGGCTGGCGTTGCTGGGCGACACTTGGCTGACGCAAAAGCTGCGCTGCTGGAACTTAAGGAATATCAATGCACTTTCCACGAAATCGCATAATTACAAAGGTTGCATCCAAGTGTTTTTTCCAAGTACCCTTGGCCACTCGCCAAACTGAGGGAGCCTCAAATGCATTTGACCCAATTATTTATGCTTTAATTGTTATGTCCCATTGCAGAGAAACTCAACGTGCTGTATGAGCGCAATTGGACGATGCTGGTGCACGAGCAGCTGCGCCGCTTCGAGGGCTCCATCGTAGCTGCCACGCGTCCCGGCGGCGCAGCTGGCGCCGTGGCGGGACCTGGGGCGAGCGCCAGTGCCAGTGCGCTGGGGCACTTTGGCTACGACGCTGGCGACACGCAGAGCTGGACGTTTAGCGAGGCGCTGCTCTACTCAGTGACTGTGATAACAACAATTGGTGAGTATCAAAACAACGTTTTTGAGCCACCTTTGAAGTCGCAGGCTTAGCTGTTTGTTGTTTATTTCGAGCCACTCTGTTTGCTTTGCATTTACAATCATCTCCGGGCATTTTGGTTTTATCGCAGGGGGCTGTAATAACAGCTAATATTTACATTGCAGTGGGGCCATCAGCAATAGCAACATCGATGCCAGCCATAGGCAAGGCAACATACATATTATGTATACGCCCAGTGGGCCCTACCAAAATATTTGCATATGGTTAAAGCCTCTTCTCTTGTCTGTGCTTGCTGCTTACTGTGCCAACAAAACTCTATCTCCCTCTATACATACCCATGCATATACGTATATAGTAATATGAAGTGTTATTCGACAGCAGCGGCTGCAAATACTCAAGCAAATTAAGAGCAGCTTAAGTGTTTTTGTTTAACTAGGTGCATCGTATTCAAAACTTAATTTTGGCGGGGAAATTTTTAAGGATAAGGCAAAAATAGGATTAATTTGCTCAAGCAGGCCGTTACATGAATCAATTAGGTGTTTAAATTTAAATCAGATTATTTGGGTGGACTTCAGCAAGTGATGCAGCCTAGCAGAGGATGAATAAAAACAAACCTACTTTGTGCTAATCTTCTTAAATGGATTAAGTCGATTTCTAGGCAAAACTTAATACTTTTGAGTGTTTGAAAGTATCCCAATAATAAAAGCTAACAATTTAATGATCAGGGAAGCAATAATTAAAAACCAAATTAAATGGTATGCGTAATCTAGGGATAGTTATAAATAATATTATTACTAATGAGGAATATAATTTACCAAATTTTATTAAAGCAATTTATTTAATAAATAAAGTAACTACAATAAATAATATAATGTAAAATTTAATAATATAAACATTACAATATTGAATATTGAATGTTGAATATTAAATATTAAATTTTTCTACTCAATCACGAATGTGAATGAATGCCGTCTATTTCGGCGCTATTGAAGTTCGAGACTTGAAATTCGGAATATATACTCGTGTCTATCCCCGATCCGCCCACTAGGGTCGTGGCAAAAATTTTCCGATATGACAGAAATAATATCAGTTGATGAGCTAGAAAGCTGAAATTCGCTATGGCGGATATATCTACACCCAGTAGGGGCGGGGGAAGCCGAGAAAACCTGAGCATTCCGCAGTCGGTAAGCCCCAACTGTAGTTAGCAGAACGCCTACGTACTAGAGAAGTTCGCTTTGGCAAATGCATGCATATCCTTGCCATAATCATAATCTGAAAGTTTCATGAAGATAGTCGGATGCATAGGTAATAGAATATGGAATTGAGTATATTAACGCGAATCCATTTTCTTCTCTTCTATAGGCCATGGCAGCCTGACGCCGCGCACAGCTGCTGGGAAGCTGGCGACCATCTTCTATGCGCTCATCGGGGTCCCTTTGATGCTGATGTGTTTGTCGAGCTTGGGAGCGCTGCTCGCTGAGGCGCTGCAGTGCACCTACATGCGGCTCTGCTGCCAGCTGCAGCGCAGCCGGAACTCTGGAGGGGAAAAGAATGGAACGACGATGACGACGGGCACACTGACAAAGCGACGTCAATGCGCTGGGAATGGGGTAAGTCAAACAGTGCGTATGATTGATATTGTTCGATTTCTGATGCAACTTTTGTGGGTCTTAATTCGATTGGCATGGCAGTCAAAGTTCTCGCACAGTTGCCATAAAACAGTGAACTGTGTATCTCAAAATCGTGGCTAAGCTGTTTGCCGTATAAAGTACTGCCTCCTCCATTGCTGTATAGTCGCTGATAGCCACAGCCTCGGCCAACGGCCAAAGGAAGCGCTTTTGTTGGCGAAAAACTTTCACTGGCTGCTCACATTTTTACGCTTAAACTTTTCTCCGTCTGCTGTAACTAAAGCTACGTGAAATATTCTGGCTTCTCTTGCATTGTGCATGTAGTTTTTTTTTTTTAGATTTTCGCAGTCAGTTGTTAAAATGCGAAAGTTACTTTTAGCTGCAACTATTCAAGCTATATTTTGTATAATGTTTGTTATAAAAGCAAGATTATGTTGAAATGCGATAAAGTTCGATGGAAACTTATTTTCGGGAAGTCCTTAAAATAATAATATTCACAAAGTTTCCGTTTTATATAATTTCTTTTTTTAATTGAACGTTTAATTGGCTATAAATGTTTTTGTAAAATATTCCGAGCTCTTATTGAAAATCCACTTAAGTTTATCTTAAAGCTTCCAGCGTTCCTGTTGCCCACCACTTTAGCCTTGGACTTGTGCACTTAGGTTTCAGTATGGATTTGAATTTCGATAGGGCAAAACATATTTTTAATTAAGACAACAGAAACCTTTTAAGTTTTCAGACCCATTTTTGGGTTTGCAGCCGGACTTGATTCGTCGTTTTTTCTCGGCTTTCAGCAGAAAACTGAAAGTTTGTAATTGATTTGAGCAAAAAACGAAAAAGGGAAGTTTTTGGGATCGTGCCACAGATTGGGAACTGTCTAGATTGTTTGCTGCTCCCTCTTGTTTTTCCTTTATTTTTTATTGTGTATCTGTGTGTGTAAAATCAAATCAGGCTACGTTTTTTTATTTTCTGTGATAACAAAAAAGTTGCTTGTCGCGTTCTCTCCGCACGCCATATACATATATAATTTGTAGACCCGTCTGAAATCGGAGGGTGATGGTCCCTCGACCTTCTGTTTGCATGTTTTGTGCATTCGTGCTCAACTTTTGTAAGTCATTTGTTTACCATCCACGGCTCTCACTGACATTTTTATTAAACTCTGAGCTATGAATTCTGCTTTACTTTCGGAGGGTATTTCCTCCTCTGATGTACGAGGTACATACACAAGCTGGAGAGAAAGCGAGAGAGAGAGAGATATGTTAGTTTTGGGCAAGTTTATCAATTTGGTAGCAATGTTATGGCTTACTTTTTATATGTTGGCGACTTATTTATTTAGAAGCTACAGTAAGCCTTGAGCCTGTTTATATTATATTTACATGAAAAAGAAAATTTTTTTGCGCTCATTAAACATATAGGTTTTTTTATCGTAGTCATTTAATTTAAATTGAGTTGGCTTTACTATTTGAAGTCTCAGCAATCACAGAGAAAGGCTACGTGATTACAGTTTTCCATATACTAAGTACAGTTACTCTCATTTCGTTTTCTGCTTTATTCTTATTGCATTTAGAAAACTACAATGGAAGCGTACTTCATTCATTGATTCAATGTGCGCGAATAACCGATATATTATCACATTAATATATACATTTATAAAGCTCATATATGAACAATTAACTTATTCGGCGAACTTCGTACCACCTAACAGTCAAAGAATGTCGTGTTACCTTTAAGCTGAACAATATATTATTTTTGATGAATGATGATGAAAACATACACTCTGATTAATTTATTAATCAGATTTTCATTCAAGCATCTTGTGGTAAACGACATTCTTCGTTTTACCGAGCCACTCATATCCGGAAATATTTTATTGATAAGCTCATCTTTTGATGAGCGAAATTGCAAAAATTTGGAGTAAATGAAATCAAACCGCTCGATTCGTCAACAGGAACACGGCCATTACCGATATTCAGCAATCGCTTCGAGAAATCATCAACTCTCATATTTACAGACAGTTGAAGTTTGGTTACATATCGCCACAGATTTGATGCTTTGAGGCAAGCGTTAAATTCGTCGGCAGCAGTAGATCTGGGAATTACTATATGTTACATGTCTTTGTTACATGTCGTTGTTCAATAGTTTGAAGATTACATGCCAATTTTAATTCCGTCTAACAATGGCCCTCTGCTTAAGATTCATTCGTTTGAACTGATTGGATTAGTTCTTGTGGATCATATTCACGTTCAAGTTCACGTTCCGATTCTCTATTAAATGCATCATTCATTCCACGATCTGACGCTGGCATTATTAACCTAACTAACAAACTACCGCATATGAGGTAACACATATCTTCGATCAAGAGTACGGCCTGGTTATGCATCTCCTGATTCGCCTCAAGATCGGGATTTCTTGAGCTGACACGAATTCGATTTAAATTGTTTTCTGAGTCAGAAGTTCTGACATGTTATCTTTGTATTTGTTTCACAGGTCAAGTGGGTTCGATGGGAACAAATCCTTAATCTAATAAATAATTTATACAAATTAATGTCAAAAACAAACAAATATAACAGTACCTACGACATATTACAAACACAGAATGTATTCACGTTCACGTATTAATGAAATGTGAATGAATAATTGGTTTTACATGAGAGCATGGACAAAAACTGTCACTGGTATCAAGCCTTCTGAGAAAATTCTAAATGACATGCATATTCTTCATATTCTCATATTCTCTCTGTCATTATCTGAGATCGAAAAATTCTGTAGATATCGGTGACTGGAATTGTAGGAATAGACAAATTAATTCAATCAGCAAGAATGGGGCATCAGGATTGCGTTATCATCTATGATAACCATATACATAATATATATGTATATATATCATAGCTGATGGGGCATCAGGATCGCGTCATCATATTCATACATATACATATTCATTTATACATATATATGTTCATAAACATAAATATAAATATATTTTATGTTATAAAATATGTAATACTTGTTTGTTTAATTAATTTATTTACCTGCCATTGTAAGTTTACCCAATTAAATAGTTTTAAAACATATAGCAACCTAATTTCAAAAAATTAGCATCTGCACATACATGTAGAGTATTTGCTAGCACATCAAAAACACAAATTTTCAGCTCAAGCGGACATTTGCAAAGTTGATTTACCATCAGACAATCGGAACTTGTTTTTTTATCTTTTTTATTTATGTCACTCATTTTTGCACGTTCGTTTGCTCTTGGTTGCAGAAATTTCTGTTTAATTGGAAGATATAATAACAAAAAAAAAGCAGAGTGAATCGCCAGAATATCAACAACAATAACAGCCAAATACAAAATAACTGAATTGCGGTTTGCACTGGACTGAACGAGCTGCAGCATTTTGTTTGTCACTTAAAATATTACTATTTAATTTGGCTTTTGGTTGAAATTCATTAACATAAACATTAACCTTTACTTTAGAGTGCAACGCGGTGCAGTACGGAGAGAGCACTGGATTCAATGAATAGAAACTTTGGCCGCGGCCAAGTTGCGAACTTTGTCAGCCTTAAAGGCTGACAATTTGAGCATGGTCGAAACTTTGACGCCAGTTGCAATTTGACTTGCGCCCCTGCCTGGTTAAAGGCCACGTAAAGTGCCAAGCTAAGTAAATTAAATGAGTTTGCGTTCACTTTAAAAATGCTTCAGCGCAAAGTTTTGCCCGGCTCGGACCTGCAAATTACGCTGGCCAGGCTAAAAGCGTGCAATAACTTTTCATTTTCCGCTGCACAATGCGAAATGTAATTGATTTTTTTATGAGCCGCTGCGGGAAAGTGCTGGAAACTGTTTGCTTGTGTTTCCGATGGGGCTGGGGCAATTCCGAAACTCATACATAACCCGAATACTTCAAGAAATGGAAAACTAATTGACTACCACTTGAGGACATTATCAAGCAATTCATTTATTAAAAACTTTCCAAATATAACGGGCGGCGAATGCAAAGTTTCAAATAGACTTTTCTATTATATAGAATATTCTTGCAATGCTCATCAAACTTTCAATATTCGCCAAAACCTTTCTTTTAGTCGGCTTTTAATTTCTTGAATACGTTTGATTGCGACATTATTATCTGCTTGATTATTTATTCTTATACCCTGAACCCATTGAAAATGGGAAATCAGATCAAATTCTTGATCATGGCGACGAGCTGAGTCGATTTGGCCCTGTCCGTCTGTCGTCTATCGTCTTTCCGTCCGTTTACTACTTTCTTACTAATGAATATAAGCTCAATATCAAACATTTAAATTTTTTATTGTTTTTCGTCGTTTGAGTTTTTTAATAAATCTTAATTTTATTGTGTGTTGTACCTTAATTTTGAATTAAATCGGCATTAAAGATTTTATATTATTTTATAGTACATAAACTATTTATTGTACTAAGAATTTAAATTCAAGGAGTTATACGCCATTTTGTATAGATTTAACTTGTATCCTAATTTCAAATTTCCTTCTTTTTCTCTAATCTTTTCATATAACATTCTATAAAGTTTTACATGAAATTTTAACCGAAATGCATTTAAAAAGTGTAATGGTCTTTAAAAACTTTATAAGTTCTATTTCTATTAACAACTTACCACATACTGAATTTAAATTCAAGGAACACAACAAAAGATTAAAATTTATTAAAATTTAATTTATGTGGAATTTTACATTTTATTTTTCAATTTTTCTCTTATACCTTAAATATGTATATTCGAAAAATGGAACTATGCTTTTTCAAGCATTTTTTTTTTTTTAGTTGTAGTGAAAAGCAAAAATTTTTCCAGCATGATGACGCATTGTTGCCTCATGCAGCACATTGCGATAAAAAATGCTGCTCGCTATGCACTTTACGAGTCTCAACTCGCGTCGCTCTTAGGCCGAGACGTGTTTGGTAGTTGTTCAACAAGTTTTTCGCATTTGCTGCCGACGAAAGGTAATTTGCATAGAGTGCGAATGTTGAGCTTGGCTGAATCGAATACATAGTATACATAGTGTGGAAAAAGGATTCCATAACTTTCATTTAACGACTCATTAGGGCTTAATTCAATCTAAGCAAATCACAGCTGCTACGACTACTGCTGCTGCTGTTGCTTTAACGAGAAGCTTTTCCGTGCCCTTTGACCTGCTGGCAATTGATAAGCCCTGCGGTTAACGTAAGGGCCATATGCGTTCATCGCTTGACTTATTATCAGCATGTTGACCGTTCGCATTTGGCATTTGGCCTTTAGCATTTTGGCATTTGGTATTTCCGTCTTCACCCAGCTCGTTATCCTTCGTCGTGGCTGTTGCCTTTGCAATTATCATGACGCACACTGTAAATGGTTTTTTGGCCAGCCGCAAGCTCACACTGGCAAATCATTTGAGTTATGCAAGTGTGTGTGTGTGTGTGTGTGTGTGTGTGTGTGGTTGCGTCAGCATCTCATCATGCTGCCACAGAACCGCAACTAACATGATAGCAACATGACAACGCTTCGCATAACAGCACGCAACGTTGAGCGAGGACCGCAACAAAGATTAGAGCGAGGATATCAGCTTGAGAGTATGAATGAATGGGTATTAAGCTGCAAGCTTTTCAAATGTGTCAATTACAATTTCATTGAGATTTTATAGCAGTACCCGGCGATTGTTAAAGGTAACCAAATAAAGGTGAAAATCCCAAGTGTTGTGCAGATTGTTAAAGTTAATTGTGTTGCGGTCCTCGAATCGGTCTGTCTGGCAGCCCTTTGGCCTAATTAGAAACGAGATGAGCGGCTTTCGTGTCGGCATTTAATCACGTAAATGACACAGAATTCGTTGCTTAGATCCTTCAATTAAACTTTTCATGTTTTACAAGGAAAAGCTACCTTATCTGCCTGTCCAAATGTTTGTCAACCTTCATGTTTTGCCAACTCTTAATTTGATAGCATGAACTTAACCACCTATCGGACGCAGAACTGGCACATTGCGTTGACAATAGATAAGGAGAGCTTAATGCAAACACTTGTGACAGCAAATTGAACTTGAGGAAATTCATCGTATATTTAAATAAGTGTATAAAGGTATTAAATTTGCATTACCAACTCGTGTATACGTATATATGAACTGCAATTACAATTATTCATATCTTCACTTGACAATGCGGCTGTGCGGCATTAATAAAATTATCCCGCTTAATTGCAGGCGAACTGCAAAGGCTGCAGCAGCGAAACGATTCTCTGCGAACGGTATGAGTGTGGCCAAGTGAGAGGGACGACGTCGGAGGCTGCGACAACAATGAAGCGCAAGCTGTCGCTGGAACAAGGCGAAGGTAGGTGACAAAGGATCCAGGCGGTTGGCTGAGAGGGGCTGGTTGGGCGCATAGTTATGAATTGAATTGTCAGCTTAACAATTGGCAAATCGTTAATCAACATTCATATGTCCTCTTTTTCGACTGCACTCGCGCCATTGTCCTGCGGCCAGCAGATGCCTGTCAATTGTTGCGCAATGCGATGCCAAGCAAGTTGAATCAGCAGCAGCAGCAACAGCAGCAGCAGCAGTTTTACCAGCAGCAACAGCAGCAGCCTGATGTCATGCTAATGACAACAACAACGACTGGCAATGCGTTGCTGAAATATGCACCGTTGCCACAACAACAGCAGCAGGAGCGGCAGCAGCAACAGCAGCACCAGCGTCAGCAATACATTAACGCATCACAGCAGCAGCAGCAGCAATTATCGACAACAACATTGCCACGACAACACCAGCAACAGCAGCAGCCTCCAAATTTTGTCGCCGTGCCGAGCAGCATGCTGCGTTTTACTGCTGCACCCACTATGCCCCTGGCAGCAGGAGGCCCTCAGAATTGCTATGCTCCAGCCACGGCCACAATTTACTTTCCATTCGCGTCTGCCACGGGCAGCACAAGCAACTGCGCTCAGCCATTGGTCAAGTATCATACGATACACTTGCAGCCCGCTGCCAAGCAACAGCATCGATTGCTGAGCACTCTGGATGCTGCGCCAGCAGCAACGGCAACAGCAACGGGAACGGGAACGACAACGACAACGGCGACGGCAGTCGACCTGACGGCAGCAACATCCACTCTGGAGGCCATCACATTGCCTCCCCCACCTGCCTATCAGACAGCTAATATGCATGGTGAGTACACAGATTATGCAGAGATAAGCTGCAACTTATCCGAAATGGTGTTATGAACATTTATAGCTGCTTAAACAGAGCGAAAAGTGAGACTTGAACGGTAAATGCCGATGAGACTGCTCTTATAATATCTATACCGTTCAACGTATTTGCATTAATAATATATATTTTTAAATATAATTATTTACATCTATTACTAGCTGCAGATCATGTTTCGATTTTTATATTATTTGCATTAAAAGATATATATATTTTTAAATATAATTATTTACAAAATGTTTTATGGGTATTCCAATATAAAAATTACCATGTATATTTTAATAATTAATATTTTGTATTTTATTATATGAATTATTAATAATATATAAAGTTTTTTAAATATATATGTTTCAAGGAATATGAATCTTTAAATTTTATTATCAATTCATTAAGCGCAAAAACAGTTTAAAATTTATAAAAGCTTAAATATTTTCAAATTTTCTGTTACCAAGGCAGACCCGAAATTCTTCTAATGGGCATGAAAAAAATAGCTACGAAGTTCACTGATTATTCCTATTTGCCAGATCATTGTATATAATCATATATTTATGCAAATACGCCCAATATGTTAATGAGTATACAATTTGGGCCAAGTTCGCCCAAGCTAATAGTCCAAATATAGTATAGTAAACATTTTTCTAAAAAAAAATATATATACATATATTTTGATGCTTAGAACATCCTGCATAGAAATGTAATGCGCTCAACATTAACCATATTAATTTAATAGAAAATACTGCAAAATCGAAGGATATTTTAACACTAATAATATATCATCAGCAATTCCCAATTCCAATTCATTCAGATAAGAGATAAAATTTAATTTCATTAAAGTAAAAGTCAGAAAAACATTTGCTTAATTCTGAATATTAATATCAATATTATTTTCACACGGCAATCAATTTAATATGTGCAACGAAAAAAACCCTAATTTCATGTCTATATGAGCAGAAATCTATTATTAACCCATCAGCTCAACAGCTACAGGGGTAAACCACAGAGATGTGTGTGCATCTGTGAGTGAGGAGCTTTGAACTGGATGATATTCATCAATCATACCACGCGTGGTACGTGTGCGGCTCTCAGCTGATTTGCGCATATAATTATTTTAACAATTTCTGTCAGCAGCAAATTATCATTATAATCGTCGTTGTTGAGAGCCGCAGCACAATGGGCAGAGAGCTGAAAGGAGAGCGTGTTAAAATGATAGAGTTAAGCTAGCGCACTTAGCGACTTTTGTTTGTACTTTATAGTGGGGACTGCGCATTAAAAGTTTTCAACAGCTCGGCTCGGCAAGGACATGACAAGGACAACAAGAACAACATGCACTCCAGTCAAGGCGAGACATGTGCGACAGCTTTTATTGACGATAATGATGACTTGGCACTTGGCACTTGCCACTTGCCACATGCCACATGCCGCATGCCGCATGCCACTTCGACGCAAGACGCCAGCGGACCGTATACCGACAGACAGCAAGCCCTGTTCCCTGTTACCCCGCTCCTATATCACGCTTTATTGCTGCGTGTCAGCTGCATGCAAAACTCATTAAACTTATTTTACTTTCTGCTGAGAGCACGTGACAGATTTACACAAGCAATATGTCCTCGCCTTCTGCTCTTTCCTATCTCATTCCCTTATGCTAGCTGTCACAAATTGCAGTCAATATATCAATACACTCGCATCCATTGCCATTCCAATATGCACCTTAATTATTTCAGCTGTGCCAAATAGCGCACAAAGGACGGCGACACTCAAAGCGTGGTCATTGTCCTTCTACACTCTCCCTCTCTTTCTCTCTCACTATATAAATATATACAGACAGATAGATATATATATATATATATATATATATATATATATATATATATATATATATA